TCCACGGGTTTCGGCCGGGCGCCAGCACGGGGACCGAACGCCGCGCGCATGGAGGACGCCTTGCGCCAAAGAGAGGAAGGCGCACGCCATAACCGCCGGCTTCTCACTCGGCTTGGATCCCGGCGCTTTCCAGTGGTCTTCTGCTGTGGGTTGCGGCCGCGATACGAGCAACTGCCACGAGGCCTTCCAGCACATCGCCGGAGCATTCCGCGCCTGCTCGCGCTAAACGCGCCACTCCCCAAATCTTTAACAATGCTGCTTCACGGGCTAAAGCAAGGCAGATAAAAGGGTAGGTATATCCACATAAAACAAAGTATCATACGGGACCCCTCCGTGGCACACGCCCCTCTCGTGCACACGGCACACAACCGCGCACCACACGTCTTGCCCGTTCGAATTGTACCCCGCCACAACGCCCCCGTCACGCCACACATGCCCCGCTACCACACCATGATGATTTATTCATATGGTGAATTGATGATGACGATATATTGAGTTGTTAAACTATTACCAGAAGGTGGAGAGTAAAGTAGATGGATAAGAAGGGTTATAATAGTGTGAAGTCTAGGTTGGAAAATTATGGGTCGATGTCAGGGCGGGCTCTGAGGGATTGGGTGGTGTGGTCTTAAAAAAATTGGCGAGACTGGTCATAGGGACAACTTTGGTAACCGTGAAAGAGAAATTTGTATTACAATTTAGTTTTAAGTTTTTTTTTTTATTCAGATGGCCAATCAATTTTGGGACTCAAATTTATTTATTAAAGGAAACGAGAGTATTGGAGGCTAAGAGTACCTTTAATTGCTTCCTATTATGGGAGTAATTTTTCAATCAGATGGCGTTTTGATGTAGCTAAAGATGCGCGGGTTCGAGTCCGCCTGCGGGCATGGGTTAAGGATATCGATTAAATATATACTTGTTTGGTCACCATACTTCTCACACTCCTCTTTATGATCATCACTGGTGAGACTCTTCTAATAACAAAGCATTGACATAAGAGCTACAATGTCCGCTATAATACTAACAGTTGTTTGCTCTTGCAGTTAACAAACAGGCGGAGGGGAATTGAAAAACGGGATGTAGCCAGAATACTGGGATAAAATGATAACTACATAGAATCGGTGGTTGAATATATTACTCACTATTATGACTGGAGTGGGTGTACTACAAAGTAGTATCGAGCCAAGATAAATGACAAGGGGTTTTATGTCCATTTTAACGTCACCGCAAATCGCTCGAATGTAATTAGGATGGGCCTGATCTCGCCGCTGGAGCGGACATATCGAATTATAAGGTCAAACCATTTGGTAGCAAGGAAGAAGGTGGTGTGACTAATGAGAGCTAGATGCGGCAAATTGATTGTGTTTTTTTACCAATTATATCATAACAATATGAGTAGGTTTCTAATTCGCAATTGTAGTCGTCTATATCTAGAATGGTTAATAGACTGGTCTTTAGCTGATGTGTTCTCTTTTAAAAAGGCTTTATGGAGTGAAGAAGATGAGTGTTCGTAGAGTATATGTATCAGCCCTCCACACGACACGCCCTCCACACGACACGCCCTCCACACGACACGCCCTCCACACGACACGCCCCCCTCACGAAACGCCCTCCACACGACACGCCCCTCATCATATTAGCGGCAATAACTTTATTAGGCCGTCATCAAGCAAAATAGTAACAGATGGGTTTGTAGTTTGTAATGCGATGCTGTAACCGACGTGTTCAGTGCCTCTCAGAATAAATGTTACGAACTTCTAGAACAAACAGAAGGGTGAAAAATAACTTCATTATGTGAATAAACGTGTAGTGGTAAATCGTATATACCGGAATTATATCTTTTTCTTGAAGCAAGAAGGGATAATGTCAATATTTAAAGTTTGACAGAATCAGTGGTTTTCTTACACCATGGAAATGACAAATCAATCGGTGGCCAAAGTAAATCAATCTGAAATTAGTAGTTAGACTTTTGACTCTGGCCTTTTTTGCACTTAAAGGACTTTTAAAGCTCATATTGGCCATTCAAACGGAAAATCTCTGAAAGGTGACATTGGGCCTTCTCGCACCATGACCAGATATATATTTATTTATAAATGCAACATTTGCCCCCCGATTATTAGACAGCTCATAGATGAAAGGCAAGTCACATTCTGATGCAGTCAAGGAGATTTTTCGTTCCGGCCGGACGTATGTGCAAATGGGGTCCGATAAATTGGGGGGCCAATATGACGTGTAAAAATGCATATAATTCCGTTATATGCAATTTCTCACTACATGTTCATGGGCAAAAAATGATCATTTGTGGCTTCTCTACACCCTTTACTTGTTTGTAACTTATTCTCTGACACCTTGTGAAAACCAACCGAACCTACTGTGTTATTCAGTGTCTGTCATTCACTCAGACACGTGTAACGTTCAATAACTTTTTCTAATTCACCTTCGAATAAGAAAAATATATAAATAAGAAGGAATACGAATATTTTTTCTCGAATATTTGCTTTAAGTAGAAACAATTTCACGCAATCGTTTATTTTAACTCGTTTATTCCCAAAAATGAGTCAGCGATCTGCAAATCTTAAACGGTCGCCGGCCGTTTTGGCATTTTATTTCGCTGTTTGGTTAAGTAGATTTATCAGTGTTCAATTACAAAAACATGTATCGTTTCCATAAAATTCCTTCGTCTATGTGATATGATGAAAAACAAGTTCTCCGAAAATCAGATAATCCGCCTTCAGTGGAATGGAAAATTCCAAGAAACACTCGAGGAATGACCTTTATTGACCTTGGATAAGACAAATAGTGGGCATTGCGCATTTTCAACTTGATTCATCACCCGTTGTCATAGAGTTCATTCAATGGCCGCATAATAAACTGCAAATTGGAATTACGTTACGTAATGGCTACTGCTGAGATCATATGTCTGCACTCTTCTTCCTATTTTTGTAATTACGTGAGTGGCTTGCGTCTGTGATTGATCGCATCATCTCTTTTCCGACCCTGCTGAAATTACTCTGTTGTTTGAGCTGAGTAATTTCACGCTGTTGAATGCAGGGATCAACAACCATGATGACCACACTCACGTCACCATGATTGCGGAGGAGCATGCGTTTCTTATTTGTAATTCCTGGGTACCAAAATACATGTTCCTGAATCATGTAAGGCTAATTTCAAAAACTAAAAGCAAGCATCCTATACTTCGTTGATGTATAAGACAAAGCTGATGACGATGTAAGAGACGGTACTGATGTGTATAAAAGTCTGAACATGTCACATCATGTCTCTGCGAAAAAGGTTTCCTGATACAATAAACCCCTCCCAAAGTGCGGAGAGGTATTTCTGTGCTTAGTTCTATCCGTTCTATCCTTCTGTCGAAACGAAAAAATGGTTCAGTAAAAGATGTGAATGTAGAATAACGGTCTTCATTGTAACATAATACATATATTTGTATCAAAATCGCAAAAACACCTTCGCTTTGCAAAATAAAAATTATCTTTGGTTACAACTACATAATTTGAGTCGCCTAATAAAATTAGTCGGTTCAAAACAAACTCTCATTGCATATATCACCGGCAATCTTCGTAATAACTTTGAAATTAATGGTCAACAAAAAAATACAAAATTATAACCTTTTTATTTGCGTTTTTAGGTTCTTCTTCGTCAGAGCCCAATTTGGAGTCGGCTTACCTTGAAGGAACGCTTGCTTCACTTGGTTCAGAATCATAGATGAGTTAACTTATTTCAAGAGCTCGAAATGTGTTTTTTTTTAATTTCTTATTATATTCGGGGTCAATTCTCATGGGCGAAAGAAAACTACATCGCGTCGCGTCGTGAAAGGCCCTGGTTGTAAATGTTTGCGCCGTGCTGAAGCAATATGTCCTCAGAACCGCTCAGTGCTGTACGAAGGAGGGTACACGATCTCAGACATTAAGTAACTTGCCAACACTCTTTCCTGTCAGCGTAGAAAAGGAAAAGAGCGGCAATTTTCTAGGTTTTCAATACAGTAGAGTACATAAGCTACATGTTAACAGGTAATTCATGAATGTAACACATACCCTCAGATGTAAATCCCAAGTCAAACTGTACCCACTCAAGTATTTGGGCGAGACGAAAAATTTCGCGGTTTACAGTACTGATATCAACACAGATACTATGATACACGCCGATAAAGTACAGGCAGTTTCCAAGCCGCGGGAGTACTTGCTTGTACAAAAGAACTGACCGTGCGGAATTAGGCACACAGGAATAAGAAATAATCTTCGCGATCATTGCGTGTCCCTATTCACGCAACTGTAAATAACGCTGTACATTTACAAATCTGTCGTATTATCGCTGTACTCAAACATTTTCCATTGTATGTGTGTGCTCGAGTGCGTGCGTGCCAGCGCGCATGTGTGTGTGTGTGTGTGTGTGTGTGTGTGTGTGTGTGTGAAAAAACACTTAAGACGTATGACGTGCGTTCTTTTCCCCATCATTTATGTATACTGTACAATACACACAATACAAGCATTCAACAATATTGTCAGCAAGCTGGTTGAAACATGTAATATATCTGAATACCTGTAATGGTTCTGGATGCAGGACCCTAGGGGAGATTGCGTTTCGTCTAAACATTAAGCAATCCTGAGGGCGAATGCTTAGATGGTCTACATCTGGACAGTAAATGTAGATTTCTCCACATTTGCTTACAGTGTAAAACAATTTCTTGCATTCCCGTGATTGTATATAACACATAATTGGAGCAAGTCCAACCAGATAAAAACCTTTTTTGTTTTTGTTTTTTCACTTTTTTCATCTAACTTATTGTGTAAGGATATGCCGCCAAAAAAGGTTTTTCGGATAAGACGGAAAACCGTCAGAGTTCCTATAAAATGTGATACTATTGTAACAACATTAGCGGTACAATTTGCTGCGTATTTTGCAGCGGATTGTTTATAGTAATGTAAATTGAATTTGCTAAACACAGTATAACATCGAGCAGGTTGTCTTGAATTTGAGTACTTATTATTGATAATAAAGAAAATTTTGAAATGAAAACAAACAAAATAGTATTAAAGAATTCAATTATTCTCTACTATTTATGATAATGAATTATTAATATGGGAGGTTGATTTCGCCCCCATCATTTTCGACCTCTAGTATTACGTATTGAATTCAGTACAGGTTTAAAAAGAAAACTCTCTCGTCTCGTTTCTCGTTTTTCGCTTGAAGAGGTTTTATTTTTACACATAATTGTTACAATTAAATGCGAAGAATGCTCAATCTTTACTAAGTACACTTAGAAAGGAACTTTTAATATTTCTCATTAACATTGACTTTTTTAGTCATTGTGCTGAATGTTCTCGCTATGAAAAGTTTATTCGAACTTTGCTCTTCTGCATCACTGCTTTCCAGAACAAACTCGAGAGAGACTGTCAGTCAAAGGACATTCATTAGAGCTATTCGAAATAAGTGCTTGAATAAACACTCAGAACATTCTAAGGAAGAAATATCACAGTAAACCGTTACAATGTCGAACGAGTGCTTGATATTTTGATTATATGTATGAAGTAGAAAACGTTGATGTATGACCATCACTTGAAACATGTCCAAAAAAAGCGTTCATAGAAGAAAGGATATTTCATGCAGTTTGGCTCTAGGAATATAACTAATTACTCAGATAATACCATCCCAAGCATCGTTGACCGCGAAGTCGTAGGGTACGTGTCCTGACGGTAGCGGATATTCGACACTAGTTACATAGCTGTATCGAATTCAGTCGTTGCCTGGAGAAGAATTCTAGTGGCCGGCTGGTGTGATTGGCAGTTTTCCGTAGTTTCTCCGATCACTATGCGAATGCGTCATGTGAATGCCAAAGCAATGCTACAAAGACTACGGATTACGCACGAGCTATCCTTCCCTATTGTTGTCCCTTCCTCTCCTCTTAAACACACACACACAGTTACATGCACTACAGAACCGCACGTGTGAGGAGCTTGGAGCTTCACCCCACTGGGGTGGTGTTTCTCCACCGGGAGGTACCTGGTGGACGGAAAACCTCTGTTCCCTACTTGTTGGTCAGAGCCAGATCTCACGTTCCATCTGAGTAGGAACATAACGACCCCTTCCTCCAGGCATAACATGCACTTCACTTATGGGACAATGAAATAAGACGTTGACGCTTACAGAACCAGTAAATTCTCATTCACCTCTTCAATACATTCCGCTTTAAAAACATTACTCTAAGCGAATCTCACATATCCTGTTGGCCACGTGTGTAATATAGGCCGTGCATATATGCCGACTCGGTGTCTGAAGAGAGCTTCATTAACAGTGGGTTTCGACGGAGTAGGTAGGTGGGACGCTGCTAGGTGATGCCTGATATAGAATTCTAAAGGACGGACCGCTTTGGTTGGGCCTTTCCGAGCTTCCCCGGCATTTCCAAACTTCTTTCTATTCTAGGCGAGGTGCCAAAGCAATGCATTGAACAACGCAGCGCGCGCAATCCTTCTTTCCCCATCCAGCCTTCACAAGCGGGGCGGTGTGACGCTATGCGCCAGAATGACATTCCTGTACAGTTTTTTAAGAGTCCTTCCTGCTGATTTTTACTTTCTCGTCGTAATACGTTCTTAACGATCAAAGAGAAAGTATTGTAATGCTGTAGCGAGAAGTGACTTTTTTCGACAGAAAAATTCATATCGTGCGGCCCTCATATGGAAACGGTGGATAAATCTTGTTCTTATATTGGGGTTTTGGGGTCCTTAATATTGAAATATTGGTTGACGGCTTGTTCGTTTCGCTGTGGTCAACGCTAGCGCCTAAACCGTTCAGACGATTTTTTCTAGAATTGAGATTTGCAGATCGATTTGGCCGAACTCGTGGCCCTGCGAGTTTGAAAGGGATAATTTTAATTTGGGGGTAAAACTTAAATTAGGAGTGGTTAAATAACAATATGTAAAATATTTTGAATATGTATGTATCGCGTAATTTTGAGTGTAATGCTGAAAACGTTTTGTTTTCAAACTTGTCTCACACCTTTTTTTATTAAAGCTAGATATTTCATTCTCCGTTCAATCTATTTCTCAATAACATCTTTAAATAATGTGTTACTATTATTATTATTATTATTATTATTATTATTTATTATATTTTATGACTAATTTGCATTTGGTTGTCAGCGCTATCAGATTTATTGTGTTGCGAAAAGAATAGTTAAACCAAGGGACCTAGAATAAGATTCGACTACCAAATGTTTCCATATCAAATGGCAAATTCCCATAATTTTGAAAGACTCCGTAGTTACTGCTGCTCCGTAGAACTCTGTACAGCCCCCCCCCCCCCGGAAGGGGATCAGCAAAGGTAACTTACTACAGCCACATGCCCCGTCGTATTTGAAGCCCCGATTGCATTCAAAACAAATAAATATATTTACTTCTAATTCTTATTAATCTGTATACGTTATTTCTGTTGTCTGAAGAAACGAATTCGGTTTTATGTTGTGTGTGTGTGGCGGAACTTTTGTTTGAAATAAAGGACCCCGTGGATTTACTGTCCCAGGGCTCTCGTTTTCTCGTAGCTCCCCTGACGCTGTAGTCGGGCTAAAGCTCGATTTGAGAGTGCCATGTACGCCATAAGAAGAAAAGCTAGTGGTGCTACAGCAGCACATACTTTCTCGCTTTATTTCTGAATTTGCAATTTTCGAAAATTCAGAGAGTTCAAGGAAAATAAGACCTGCACCATTCTTTTAAGCATCCCTTTTTCTATCCGTGGGGAGGGAAAGAAAACAAATTGAAGCGGTTTGTGATAAAAAAAAATGTTTTAACAGACAAACAGATGGGCGTTTTTTCGTTAATCTATTTTTCGGTATAATAAGCCCACAAAATATGGATTTTGGCTGCACCACTTGTAAGAGGATTTTTTTCTATATTTGGCAACATAATTTACCCACTTCTTCGTTACCAGAGTCCGGCAATAAGTGTGTTTCTGCCGAAATTTCGCAGTTTTCCGGCGTACGATTACATAACTTTCTCTTTTTACTTCTAAGGGCGAGAAAGTAAAAATGAATGACCTCTTTGTTTGTGTTGCAGGCCTGTTCAGCGCCCTGCTACGCAATACGGACATCGTGCCGTCGGACATGATGGCGGCGCTGGTGCTGCTTCGGGTGATGCAAAAGCGCGAAACGCGCGAGCTACGGCGCCTGCAGCTGCTGGAGAAGGACCAGCCCAAGTATTACCTGGGTAAGCACGCCAGGCAGGGTTTAGGAATAGCCTAGTGGGCTGCATTAGCAAAAATTCTGCGGTCGAGTGCGCAGAAAACGGGATCCCGGAGCTGCAAAAATGCTGCTTGCGAGCGTGTGGAAATCGGAATTTTTGCTGGTACAGACCCCTGGATTCAGAGCCAATAGGCTTTGCAAGCCAGCGTGAAAGTCAGTAAAAAAAACTTGTTTGGAAATTACTGCAAGGAAAGAAACATACTGAAGACACTTAAAAACAATGTAAACATAAAAGCCATATTTACGATGTTATACAATCGCGTAAATTGGTCGCAGTAAATATCTTCGAAACTTTTGAGGTATCGAAATGCGATTTGCGCCACGTTATTGTAGATGATAAGGTAATTTTCTTGTTTGAAAGATTTTGATTTTGATTTTATTACAAAACTTCGATTTTTTAAATGGAAGTATATATTTTTTCATTCATATGTTTTTGAAAAGACGAATGCAAAGATATAAGTAGAGAAAACGCGTTCCATTTTTGTGTGTATGTATGAAACTTACGTATCTAATGTCTAATCTAATAATCTAAAGTGTATTTTTCACTCAAAATCGATACTGTTTCATTGTTTTTGTATTTTCCCTGAGTTCTTGGAAATCTAATGAAATGATAGACATCACTCACAGGGCCAGACAGAGAGTATATATAGAGGGGCCAGATGCCGCGTAGTTTTCTTTCAATTTCTGTCGGCATTAGAAATCAGTAATATTGATGCTTGAAAAGTCTAGCCTAAGTCAGGGATGTCCAACTTGCAAGGCCTCAAGGGCCACAGCTATAACCAATTATACTGTTGCGGGCCATATTTTCATTACACGGGCGACCCACACCTGACACCTATTGTTGAACTCGCCCCTTTCTCGGCTGCTCTTAAACGGTGTGTGTGTGTGTGGGGGGGGGGGCTGAATAGATTCATGCGTTATATCAGTCCGTACTATGTACAACGCAGAGTAACACATTCGGATCATTTTGAATATTTTAATTTACAATAAAAAATCTAAATATAACCTGTAATCAAGGGGATTTGACCTCGATAAGCGTGCGATAAGCACGCAATGTCCTCACACGACATGGATGAGTCAATCCAGTTTAAGCGGTTAAGCTCTGGGCGCTCGACCATTTCGGAAAAATATTCATATTTTGTACATAAATTTCCTTATGTTTTGGGTGTTTAAAAACATATTTAATTATTTTTTGTTGGATCTGGTTTTCAAATGCCGGCCACTTTTGTTTTACGCGTTTGTAGACAAACTCTTTTCTAAATTACTCATCTCTGGGGTGTTTTAGCATTCTAGAATAAAAAGCATTGGATTCAGTATACTCTGGCCTAGAAATCAAAAGAATTATTTACCTACCTTCAATGTTTTTTTTTATTATTTGGGAGATAATGACAATGCAGGCCGGGTTTACTTATTATCAGTCAGTTTACTGTATCAGGTAGGATTTTTGTATAATTGCTGGAAAATATCTCGTCCACATAGGGCAACTTCCAGGGTGAACACAGAGAGAGAAAGAGAGAGTTCAAGTAAAATAGCTGGAAAAGGTTGATCCCAAGCACTATCTTAAAGAGCACTCTGGCAGGGCTATGCTGTAGCTGCTGAAGGAGGACTAGCCCAAGTAGTGGCTATTGCGTGGATGAGCAGGAAGGCAAGATCAAGATATAATGTAGCTGTTGACTGTAGACGTGCAGAATTGCTGCTGGGTACCTAAGTTCAGATGCAGAAACATTTAACTTTTCGTGAAATGCCCCTTCCTCCTCAGCTTGCAGTACTGAAATGGGAGAGCTCAATCGAGCTGGCTACTGAAAATATCATCTGAAAGTTGATTAAAAATACTGTTCAAATTGGATGAAAAAATGTACATCAGCTTTTTGGCTGAATAATAATGCACTCTACCATTTAAATAAGAAACGATCCCACACAAACCAACAGCACATAATTTAAAATTGATTTGATCACTATCTTAGTAATCTTAATGTTCGTAATGGATAGTGATTATCTGGGCTCTAGTAATGAGTCACTTCTAGTACATCACAACCCTAGACAATTCTGACATTGTAGGAAAGTTAGGACATGGGAAGACATCGCACATGTTTATTAATGTCTTATAAATTTAGCACAAAATGTTCTTTGCTTTTAAAGTAAGATTCTATAAAAAATTCAAGAAGAGTAATATTAATGTACTTAAGTCAGTTATGTATTCCCCCAACATTTGGAAGAAACAACTATGTAGGTTCTACAAAGTAATCAAAACGAGTTAATCAATGACTGCTTGATTCTTTGTTGCTAGCCCATATATTGAAATAAACAAATTTATTTTATAGCAATTCTATTCTGCAGGTCAGAGTAATAATGACTATGGTATTAATTTTCCAGATACTCGTGAGGTGTTTGCAGAGACACCAAGTTGGATGTCCCTTGACCATGCCCTTCATTTCTTGAAGATGTCAATGGCAGCATATGGGTGGCCTTTTGTCATGTATCAGTATCCAGCTACAGGCTTGTTTCGAATGTGCCCGCATATGACGTGTTGTGCTTGCTTCAGGTAAGAACTACTAATTATAAAAGAAAGTTTATTATGAAAATCTTGTCAAATCAGTACCTCTTGAATCTTTTGTGGTACTTTACACAATAAGTTACTTAACACTTACTATATAATAAATTACCTATTTAACATTAACTATTAATATCTCTTAAGTGTTCTTGAAAATAGTATGACATTATTGAACTAAAATTTCTCTTTTCTCTTTGATTTTATTGTAACTCAAGTGTTCAGACATAACACAATTGTAATGAAACAAAATTTACGCAATTAAAAATTAAGATGTGAATTGTGAGAGAAAATATTAGTTAAATTGTGACATAGGTTAAGAATTCAAAAGTACAACAATTTTCTATACAACATCCATTTTTTCCAAAAAGAGACCTTGCATTTTGAGCTCTGCCCAGATAGTCAATACTGGAGTACTTGAGCTCTCAAAACATTATTTAAACTGAACAAAATGTCTCATCATACTAACACATGTTAAGATATTTTACAAGATGTCTTTTAAAAACTAATTAATGTCTATTGCATTTACAACCTACTATCTCTTTGACTTTGAGTTGACACCTATAATTATCTAACACCTTACATGTATCATGAAAATATTACAAAGAATTTGTTCTCTTGAACAGAATGTTTGCTTGCCATTACTAATTATTTGATGATGACATGAGTAATACCATCAATTACAAATATTCTCCCAGGTGCAAGGCTACTGAAGTGAAAGATGACAATTGCTGTTTGTGTCATCTGGCTGGAGTGCGATACACATCACAAGTAGACTACGAAGACATTATCTATGCCTCCTTCAGCAATGACATGTGCCAGCTTCCATTCTTTGTGCTGGCTGACCACAAAACTAGTAGCATTGCCATTGTAGTGAGGGGCTCTATATCTCTGAGAGATGTATTCACCGACCTCATTGCAGGAGCAGACCTCTTTGAAGCTCCAGGTCTGCCAGAGAACAGTATGGTGAGTAATATTTCACAACTGATAATCACAAATGGATTTTGCAAGCAAACCTGATCATTTTTATTTATTAAAAAAAGTTAAAAACTGAATGATATATATGGGTAAAGTAGTATTGATGCACATTTTCTTGAGCTCCAGAATCCCTACCTTTGTTTTTTTACTATATTAAGTTGAATTATGAGTAAAGGTAGCAAAGAGCATTTGGGTTTTTTTTCATAACAAGAGAATCACTCTCATATAATAGATATTACTAGCATCAGTAATTAAATTCTAATTCATTTGATGTCATGCCTGAAATTAATTTAAATTGTGACCCTAACACACTCTTCTATTTCCAACACAAGATTCTCAGACTTATGGAACTCATTTTATAAAATACTAGGATATGTGCGGAAGTAATGTTATTATATCTACTAGTTCTTTGAGTTACTTAACGTCATTAATATGAGAATCTATTATGCGTCCTTTCATTTAATATTTTTAAGCCATTAGCTATTTGTATGTAATTTTTAATAAAATTGTTGAATTTTAAAAAAATTGAATTTTGCTCTGTTAGATATGAGCAACATTGGTCAAATGAATCTTTAAAACATAGTAAGGAGATTGATCAAAATCCACTATAAAAAGAATTTTCATTTTAAAATAATTTTGATAATACCTGTAACTTTTCATAACAATATTCTCAACCCCTATCAGTTATTAAGCATGGACTAATTCTCCTTTATTCTAGTCCGTCACATTCACTAATTCTCCTTGAACATGGTCTGTTTCTGTCTCATCTTTGCTTTTTATTCGTATTGGCCGGGGGCTCAGCACCATTTGAATCTGTGTTTCCCAGACAATTACCTATTCAGGAACCCTCAGTGTCTTGAGCTGCTTTGTAATAGTAATAATTATTCAAGATAGTATTGTTATAGCTTAAAGAATCAGTAAGAAAGCAGGTGAAGGTAATGTAAGTTTAATATGAAACAGTTAAAAGTATTTTGAATGAATTTATTTATTTGATTAGGATTATCTTTTAAATGATTGATTTTTATTATATTATAAACAAAAATAAAAGTATTTATTTTTATTTTTCTGAAAATAGTCCTGATCTTTTGAATCAATTTTTATGCATCTTTTTTCAGGCTCACAGAGGCATTTCTCTGGCAGCTTATTACATCTTAAAAACACTGGAAACCTCTGGAGCTTTGGAGAAAGCATTCATTCTTTACCCTCATTACAAGCTTGTATTGACAGGTATTCAATATTTGTACATAGAATTATATTTTTAAAAAGAGGTAATTGTAATTGACATCAATGGAACTGAGGCAAATTGCAGACTTTCACAATACTAAATAGTTACTACCAAAGTGAAAATTAATGTAGTTATTATTACTTTCTATATACATACAATTGGAGTATTTGTCTGCGATTTCAAAATAACTGCCTTTTTATAATATCATATATTTATTTACATGATATAAATACAATTCAATTGTTTTTACAAAATTTGTCTATCTGCTTGTCCAAGGTAATCTTTGTAATAGCTGTACTGTTTTCAATGCATTGACCCTCAAAGGAGTGTGTTTTGTCAGGCATAACTGTCAGGTAGCACTACTTTCTTTCAAATTATTATTTCCTCGTACATAAAGAGGAATGTTTGTTTGTTTTTTCATACAAATCTACTTTGATCTTAGATGTGCGTGCACTCTTTTTCATAAAAATCCCCAAACATTGAGGAAATTCACCAAAGTGAATGAAACATTTTTTAAATATTTTAAACATCCTTAAACATAAAATTCAGTTTTTATTGTAATAACAGTAAACTAGTATATATAACATTACTTTCCTAAACGTAGAAACCAAAGATACCCATTCTGTTTTCAGGACATAGTCTAGGAGCTGGTGTATCAGTTTTACTAGCTCTTCTTTTGAGACCTCGGTATCCTGATCTCAAGGTGTATGCAATTTCACCTCCTGGTAGGTATAATTATAAAACATTAGATAAAAATCAAAACTTATACATACTTTCATCATAAAATATGGATCAATTTAATAATAAGCATAGTAATTTGATATTAATAGCTTTTAATTACAAATGTCATTAACCTTGTTTTCTCTTATTACATCTTGGATACACTATCACCATATTTTCTTTAAATTTTTATAATTTGAGGTATAAAAATCGAAAGATTGTATTGGAAAACAGTGTCACAAAAGTACAAGACTGCTTTGATTTATTTGAAGGATTGTGTAAAAATTGAAGGTTGAATGAAATATATTGGGTTATTAATGAATTTTAATTTTGTATTTTGTAGCTGGTCTTCTGAGCAGAGAAGCTGCAAGGGTTACAGAGGAATTCACATTTTCAGTTGGTATTGGAGATGATTTTGTAATGCGATTGAGTGTTGACAGTATTGAGAATATTCGAACCAATGCTCTCAGAGTTCTCAAATTCTGCAAGCTACCAAAGGTTTTTATATTTATTTTACTATCAATAATTTTTTCAGGTACACATTAATCACTTGTTAATTCCAATCAATTATTAATTTTTAAAATATTATAAGTTGGTTTATATAATAATAATAATAATAATAATAATAATAATAATAATAATAATAATAATAATAATAATAACTACAACAATAATAATAAAATTACTAATATTAATTATAATAAATTAATAATAATAATAATAATAATAATAATAATAACTACAACAGTAATAATAATAAAATTATTATTATTATTATTATTATTATTATTATTATTATTATTATTATTATTATTATTATTATTATTATTATTACATAAACCAACTTATAATATAATTTCTAATATCATTTTGCAAATAATAAAATAACTTCAAAATTGTTGCATTCTTCTTCTTCTAATGCTGTACGTCCTTCAAATGAACTTGGTCTGCTCAACTATCCTTTTCTGTTTTTCCCTATTCTTTGAGTGCTTGATACAATTAAATGATTGCATTTCATAAAATTATGTTTGTTTTCTTTTTCATAAATTAGTAGTAAACGATTTGTGTTTTTTAAAATTATTGTGATCATCTTTGTTTCCTCAGTATCGAATCATGTTGAATGGTTTTGGATATGCCATATTTGGTATTCCAACTCGTGATCTGGAGTCTACTTGGAAAAATGATTTACCAACTCCATCAACTCCAGGCCAGCTGCCACTACTACTTAATACACCACCAACTTCAAGCTCTGATGTAAGTTATTCACCATATCTAACAAACAGAAGTACACAACCCTAATTACTATGTATTGTGTTTTTTCTGTAAAATTTTTACTCACATAGTGATGCAACCATTTTGTGTACCCATACTTTAAACATTAGATTGTGATGGAACTAAATTTACTTTCACTATTTCTGCTAAAAAAAATTGAAGATGTTTCATAAAACAGTTTGAGACTTATTGTAACAATTATTTAATTTTACTGTTATTATCAATCCAGGGGAATTTGTGCTTAAAAATAGTAGCCTTCATTTAAATATGGGGAACTTTAAGTTCATTTGCTTTGTGTTATACAAGTACATCAAATGCAAAGTAAAAGATTTTTAAAATCCAAACAAATGGTGAACCATATTATCCCTATTTCATTTTTTATATCAAATGATCCCTATTTCTGTGTTGCAGGATTCACTGCTATTTGTTAGAGACATTTCTCAGAGAAGGTTCTCAAGAACTCACTTGTACATTCCAGGAAAGATTCTTCACATCACTCGTCGCAAAAAAACTAAGCAAGAAAGGTATGTGAAATTGTTAAACAAGTTTGTTAAGTGAGATTTTATTTTCAATGATCATGAAAGTATCACTAATAGTCGATGGTCCAGTGCTTCTGTGGTGGTTCTATACAATGTGTTTCATTTAAGCACTCTTAACGTTTAATAGTTTAATATAAATTTGCATTGATAAAAAATTAATTTATTATCAAATTTCTTTTATCTTATATGTTACTAAATAGTGTTAATTAAAAATAGGAAAAAGGAATCACAACCTATGAGTTTGGACACTTTCCCATATTATAGATTTTTTTGTGGAACTAGATAATGTTTTATACTCTTCAGGACACCTCTTCTGACTCATAAATTTTAACTCACCTCATGGATGTTTTTCTATGGGACCAAAGATGTCCAACTTAACATTGAGGTTTATTTGTGTGCTAGTATGTTAGTCACTAGTATGCTAGTCACTGTGTATGATAGTCACAAGTGTTTAATTTAATCTTCCAGTTGAGTATCAATTGTGATTGCATGAATTTATTTTTGAGAAATTTGTCTTTGTATACATAAAAAATTGAAAATATGCAAATCTCGTGCTACAATGTTCATCTGCTGCTTGATAGCTGCTGTGCTTGTCTCCTTTCAGGAGAAAAAAAGAAAAACTGTGTTTTTCAACTTTGCTTCAATAAAAATAGATTTTGCTGTATTCCTATTGGTGTTTATTTTCTATTTACAGGAAAACAAACACAGGAGGACCAACATATGAAATGCGTTGGGCAGTGGCAGAAGAATTTACTGAGTTTCGAATTATGCCTCGCATGATTCTTGATCACCTGCCTGACAACATTTACAAGGCTTTTGAGACTGTTCTTGATGAACAGAAACAAATTCGCAAGCGTGTGCCCACTGTTGCTGTTCTTTAGATGAAAAGTCTGTAGCTTTGAAATGTAAAATAATTATGCAGAAGACTGTGACTGAGATGGTTGGTTGTCACTTTTAATGTCTCTCTTAAATCCACAGCAATTAATTTGAGAAACATGTTTGTCGATAATGTGAAAAGTGTACGGTAAAAGCTTGCCGTAAATTTTTTAACCGAAACTTGTCAATTGTGCTATCAAGTAAATAGCATTTTGATTTTAGACTTTTTTAATACTCACCTAATAAAAACATAGATAAGTATCCAACCTCCAACCTCTCAGTCAAAATTTGTTTCTTTACCCAATGGAAAAAATAACTTTTTTTCAATAGAGAGGGACTTTTATCATGGTTGTGAACTTAATGGGAGTTGCACTTTTCCATATTTATCCCTGTCTTACAGCACTAAGTGCAACAAACGAAGAAGGAAAATAAGTGTACTTAAGCCACATCAATATCTCCCAAGACAAACCAAGGATGTGGTATTTGGAATATGTCTCATGGTTTCCATGATATTTTTATTCAAGAATACTCAGGCAAAGTGCAAGTCACTAAAGAATGCTTCTCTTGCCAATGTTGTATTTGACTCTCTGAGAGCAATAATTAATGTGACAGCATCCATGTACTTAACATTCCATTGTTCAGTATTTTGAAACATGCAGGAGTTATGTACTCATGTCATTTTCAACAAAAAATGTGTAAGATAAATTTCAAGAAGTGGCAAAGCTACTTAAATCATTGTGACATTAAAATGCCTAGATACCAAGTGCAATCTGAAAGGACTTAACCTTTTGAAGGAATGCTGCAAAACAGTTGGTAATAGATCTGACATAAAACTAAGGGTTTGAAAATTATCTATCATACTGTGAACTTTGTAATCATATTAATTCTCAATATGAAAAAATTGTAGATATTGATGTTTAGTTATCCTTTCTTCTACTAGTATTTTTCATTTTGTTTAAAAGACTATAGAAGTTTGACTGTCAGGAAAAAATCAGAAGTAGAATAACTTGTGAAGACAATTTAGTAGATCCTCTATTTTAGCAAATTACACTAAACTGTTCTTCTTTTTGTAACTCTTCATTTCAGTGTATACTGTATAACAAAATGAAAATCTAGACTCCCAATTTCTCAAACCCAATTGTAGGTGACAATATGGATGATTAATTTAGCAAAGAAACTTCACATACAGAAAAAGAATCATTTTACCTGAAAAATATTTGTTTTGGAGTTTCAGGTAATTGTCTTACTTGTGGGTTGTGGATGTTATAGACCCCTTGGGCACCCAGTGGACTAGCAGATTTTCATGACAAAAGTTATCCATGTTATCTAAAGGCATTGATGTAAATAAACATTGTCACAAAAATATCATTTGATGTTGGATGGTGGACAACATATCAATCACATACAATTTCCTGCTACTATGTCAATTTTCGTCAGCACTTTGTCATTCACTCCATAAGAATCCTAACAAAGTTTCTCTCCTCTCATTACCCATTTAAAGATGTAAGAAGGATATTGTACTAAAAATTTTTCACAAGTAACGAACACCTTTCAAACTTGCAATGATGGAATTTTTATTTATAAAAGAAATATCATTAATTCTTCATTCAACAAAAAGTAGAAAAATAGAGATGAGTTTATAAATATTTTAAAGTTAAAAATCATTGGTGCGTTAATGGTTTGTACATTAATGATTTTTAAATTGTAATAAGTTGTGAAAAATTTTTGTACTGCCTTTTTACACAAAAATATGGTCTCACTTTCATATACTAAATATATTCATGTATATTTTCATTGTTAAATAAATATATTTATACACACATTGCTAGTATTAATTTAATTCATGACCTGATGTTCTAATCATTCTAAACATTGAATATTTTTAAAATATGTGGTAAAGCAGTAACATAATTCAAAAACACATATGAAAAATAAGTTCTTTGACAATTTCATTACATTGACTATAGGCATTTTAAAATGAAGAAAATAGGCATTTTAAAATGTGCAGTTAATGCATGTAACTAAATGTTAAATTCTAGAAGCAAAGTGACGAAGACAGATTACTGTAGGTCAATACTAAAACAATGTTCAAGTTAGATTCAAATATATGAAAATGATCTAAATTGGCCCATAGACAATAAAATTACTCGGAATGCATGGCACATCAAAACATTTCCTTCTCTTAGTGTTATTACTCAACAAAAACTCTTTTTATTTTAAGTGCATCAATGAATTCAAAGATATAAAATGGAGGGATAAATTGTTCTGGGAGTGAAATCTCTGAGTTTTAGTACTGCAAATTTAGGACAGAATTGAAAATAAATGTGAAATTTTTCAATTTTCAAAGTTTCAGAGAAAACTGACACAGGGTATTTATATACCACCCACAATTAAAATTAAATTAAAAATTGGTAACTTTCGTTCAACAAAAATAATGTTATTAAGCAGCAAGCTTAAACAATAATATTTTTGAAATTGTCCAATCTTATATGAAGAGAAAATGCAGAATGCTAAACTACGTCATCCACAAACAAGATTATTTTTTCTTTCTTGTGAATGTTTGTATATACAGAGTAATGCTCGTATTAGCGTAGAAAAAGTTGTGTAATTCTGTAGCCAAATACTAGGATTTAGGATACTGAAACTAATACTGGAAAAACTTCCCCTGATACTGAAAAGTGTTTTATTTATTTATTTATTTATTTATTTATTTATTTATTTATTTATTTATTTATTTATTTATTTTCGTTTAAAACGGTCGGTTTCGGTTCAAACACATCGGTCCGTCGTTCCTTCTGTGAACAACACTAGCGTGTAAACTATTCGTAGGATTTTTTACAAAATGAATATTCCCAGGTCGATCGGGCCTAACTCGAAGCTCTGCGATTTTAAAAAAACATTCTTTTAGTTTTTTTTTACAAGAAGCCCCTGCGACATTTTCAATTTTTTTTTCAATAATGGTTTTAAATATTTTCTTTAAATAACTTGTAAAAATAGGATTAAATACACTTATTAAGATAAGATATGTTCAATTTTTCACTGTTTACTCTACATTTTCGAAAATGCCCCCCCCCCTCCCCCGCGTACGACTTTATTACTGAAGATGGAGATTTCTTCTTCAAATAAAATGTGTTTTCCTCAATGTATGCTTTAATTAATGTCAATTTAATTTTTTTTAATATTAGTGTTTTTCGTTCAATTTTGAATGAAATAAGGGCAATACAAAAACATAATTTTCTCACAACGATAACTTACCAAATGTTTTCTTTAATTGTTTTTTAGGTATAGAGCTAAATGCGCGGAATTGCATGGCACAAATGCTATTTTGATGTATTATTCTTAATTTCAAACATTTCTTACGTGTATTTTTAAAATATCTCTCACGTCGAAAATAGTAACATTAACGGAGTTCTTTTTATACGAGATTATCACATCAGTGAGTCGAAATCTTCAAATAATTAATTATGAAGTTTCGTTAAAATTTAAAAAAATTCTGTGAAAATTAACTTAAAATTGTGCTTTTTCAGAAATGCTCAAACGACATTTTCTCAATACTTGCACTAAATGTTTTAATGAAAATGTACATATTATGTCCAGGTTTTGCTATTCTATATAATTCTTGAAATCGTATTCCGTCATTAGATAAACCGAAAAATTGAGAAAATATCAACAAAAAAATCCTCTTTGATGCCAAAGGATGGCAACTGAGAAGAGGGAGAGGTAAAACCGAAAAGCTAGATCAGACTAAAGAGATAAGAAAACTAATTAGTTCGAGAATGTCTGTGCCATTCTACAGCACCATTAATTTATTTATTATGTATGTAATACATTAGTTTCTTGTGTGCTATGGCTAGTAGTATTTATAAAATATTACGTATTGGGAGACCTTGATAAAGAAAAAATGTTTTTTTCTCAGTGACTGTCCGCCTTTCTGTGAACAACTCTATCCTGTGAATACTATAGCAATTTTCGAAAATTTATTTTACACATCTATCATCAAGAATTAAATTCCTCGAAGTTCTATATTACGCGTTTACTATACTTTTGGTTTAACCAAATAATCTTCCACTTTTATGCCATTTAACAGACACAAATGGTGTGCCAGGAGCCTTTTCTCTATCTGTTTCAACTACGAACTCATTTCTTTCCTTTTGGCGGCTCCCAATGTGGCATTTGTAAGGAAGGTTTACTGCTGCTCAGGAAGTTCTCTCGACGACCTCGATACATTAAGAAACCTCCAAATAGTCATCCCACTGAGCCTACAGGACCTCTGTGGAAGCCGCAACAGAGTATTTTAAGCCGGTACCTCTTCTCTCCGGACGTCCGGTGGGGGAACGGCGGGAGGCGATGATGAGGGTCGAAATTCTTTCTCTGTCTGGAGCACAGAACTACAGCATCAGAGATTGTACAGTAGCAATGACGCAGCAGTAATAGAATTGGATCGGTATGGGCCAGTATCAGGGGTGCATTGACGTTTAAGCGAAATAAACATGTGGATAGGAGTGCGTTATTATTATTCTTTTTAAATTTTTGTAACTTAATAAATATGGGCTAATGAAAATAATATAATATGCAATTTGACGTTTTATGGAAAAGTTTTTGAATTGCAAAGATAATTTATGGTCTTATTAATTTTGATTATACTTCTTATTTCATTATTACTCATCTCATTATTTCAAAATTAATAGTAGGCCGTGTTTGGTCGGTTAGGACCAGAGAAGGATGAATGCGTAAGTAAACAATGTGCGGAGAAACTAGACCTACAAGTCCTCTAAATAACATTTACACAAAATTTCATAAATAGTACAAATATTTTAATATTTGTTTCTTAAATTGCAAAAGTTATAGTTTATTTTTCTATTAACTTTAATTACATTTTTCAATATTTCAGAAGCATTAGGAGACCCCGTTATGGCCATGTTCAGGATTCTTGAGATTTTCACCACCCCCCTCCCCGCGGCAATATGGAATGTCGGGAAGTAAAATCATACGTGGAAATGCATACCAACAGTAATTCGAGTCCGTAGTTTGAAGTAAGTTCATAATCGTCTTTCGATTACTTAGATTATTCGATGCATTGAGCCGTCAGAGATTCCTGATATTTTTTTATATTTGAAACATTTCGTCACCTCAGTTATATTTTTTGTATGTTTCTGTGAATAAGGTGTTACGTTTAATAAGAATGAGTTGTCAGTCAAATTCATTTGAAATTCTGTTTTTGCACGCTTAAGAACGTAACTGTGAGAAGTCGAACGTGGGTTAAATGTGCTTTCATTTTATAGCATTACGGTTTGGTTACTCCGTATTCACTTGAAATTTTCAAATTTAATAAGTTTGCCACAACAAACCACGTTTTTGGAAATTCCTTAGAATCGAAAACATTTTATCAGTTCCCTACCAGAAGACCGAGGCGCGTCTAATGTTACCTCATATGTCTCGATTGGTGCATGGGAAGTGGTCTAACCGTGGGTTACGGATCCGCACACACATAATTGCAGTTACTCAAATACTATATAGAGACTAGTTGTGGCGTCGCCGACGCTGTAAACTGTATTAAAAGTATTTTCATGTGTTGGAAATTTATGTCATACACAGCTTTGTTCAAATAAGTTCTTACAGTCTCTCGCATTGGATATATCAATAATACGTAGTAGCTAATTATGTTTTACTTCTGACCAAACATTTCCAACCCCCAATGGCCTCGTATGTTACCTCCTTAGGGGATATGAACGAGTAACATTGCAATTTCAAAATTTTAAATGCTGAAAAATCACCTGCAGGTACGAATTATGCTAAATGGTTAGAATTTAGTACAGCTACATTTTTATGTTTTTTAGCTAATAAGAACAGAAGCGCACATAAAAAATTATCTATAAGCTGCTCTTCAATGTTATTCTCTAATAAGATCTTTCTCAATTAGTTCCGAAAATTCTGTTGAAAAATATTTTTCAACTACATTTTATTCTTCTCCAGATTTGCTTAACACTTCCATTTTATGTCCCCTAATTTTTGAATAGATTAAAACTCCATAAAATTAGTCTAATTGTGTTCCCTTCTACATCTGCAAGTGCTCTATTTATCGTTTTGTAGGCGAATCTATATAAACATTAAAAGGCGACCGTTTTGTATGTTTATGTGAATAAGATGCTAGTTACGGTTTAATAAGAATAAGTTGTTCATTCATTTGAAAATTGGTATTTGCACACTTAAGAATGTAAATGTGATAAGTCGAACGTAAGATCGTAAATGTGCTTTTGTAGCATTACTCACAGTTTGGTTTTCTCCGTATTTATCTGAAGTTCAAGTTCAACAAGTTTGAAGGCAATATTGTTCGTAGGTTTTTGAAAATGTATTTTTAAAAATAAATTAATAAGGATGCAAATTAAATGAAATCTGCTGCGCGGCGGTTCTCTTGACGCATTCAACGTAATCTATATAGATTAATTTGGGTGGTGTTGGTTTAATTCACTGGCATACTAAGAAGGCAGCAGAATTCGAAACTAATTACTTTTGCACTTTTCCCGAGTGCCAGGGTATCTAACGAGACTAGACACCTCTTCCTTGGTTGGAGGCTCGATAATTTTCGTTAAATTTGTGCACGCTTTGGAAATTAGTAATGCAGATATTTTTGCTGAAAAAAGATCTGACATGGCGAGCTAATGATTTGTGGCGTATGGAGTTACGTGTAGCAGGTAGGTGATGAAAACTTTCATTGCGTTACAGAAGGATTTCTAAATACTCAATTCACTTCTAATATATCGATCTAAGAATCCAGCGGCGAATTGAACGCCAATTAACAATTACGCATGTACATTGTTTCATGGTATTCATTGACTTGCATACTATATGAGTAATATAAAGAAAGTAATGCTGCAACTAAAAACGGCGATTATATGATTTTTGTCAATATTTTGTTTACGACTGCCAATGAAAGCAATCAGAATTGACAATTCTCAAATAAAATGTCACAGGGATCTACTTTGTAAATATATTACCAATACCTAAAGGTGATTATGAGAACACTCGGACGTAGTTACCTTGAATTTTTAAGACGTGACGTCATGATCGCAGGCGCGTATCTACATTTCAGTAAATATTAATTTTAACATCTCATGAAACTTTTAAGTAACAAGAGGTGCTAAAATATCACTTTTTGCCCATATTTTTACGCAAAATTACGCGAAAACTTGTACATGACCTTATACCAAAATCTATCTTTAAGGAACAGATTTCAATAAGGGAAAACATCTCTATCTTTAATATTTTAGTTGTAGAAAGACTCCGAAAAAAATTTTCAACTTCTGAAATTTTCCACAAATTATGTTTTTTAACGAACGCGAGACCTGCACTATTCTCTTAGACGTCCTTCTCACTATCTAACAAAAAAATTAATCAAAACGATGGAGCCTTTTCTTTTGAAAATTTGAAAAATGTCCCAGGGGATTTGTGTAAAGTTGCCCCCAAAATTGAAAAATCGGTTTCAAATTCCAGGAGCCGTGACATCAGACAGATCGATTGGAGAATATCAATTTTGGAGAAAATCGACGGAACGGTTTAGCCGCTACCGTTGTTTACAGACTGGCAGACGTTTTGCTGTCATTCCATTTTCGGTTTCAAAGACCCAAAAAAACATAGATTCTGGTTACACCACGTGTCGCTGGTTACACCACGTGTCATCGTGGTTACACCACGATGGGGTCACGATGTCCCCAACCAAAAAAAAAAAAAAAAAAAAAAAAGAGGTCCAGAGAAAACAAAATGGTAAAAGTACAGAAAAATAAAAATAAGAAACATAAGGAAAAGGTGAAGAAATGTTGAAATGTATCGAATAAATAACCGCACGTTCTGTTCTTAGCCTTTTAGTTACGAATGGGAATCCTGCATCTCGCTGTATTTTAGCTCAGTGGTACGTATGGAAAATGTCTTTCACTGTTCTCCAGATGCGCGTGACAGTTCATATCTCTTTCTTACTCCGCTTGACAAGCGTTGCTACGGCGACGTCTACGTATTGGAGCGTGGTCGACGCAATCAGAAACAGTGTTGACGGAGGAAGATCTCGAGGTGCCAAGCGAGTGATAGTGGGTCGCTGTGACATTTCGCGCAATTACAGTGTGCCTGAAACAAAAGATTATGGCATGGATCGCTTACATGCGCCTGAAGACGTAGCGGTTAATAAGTAGACAACTTAAGAAGAGAAAGAAAATATCTAAAAATAATAAGAGGAAAATAGAAAGAAATCTAATGAAAAGAAAACGTGTAAGAGACTAGACATATTTTGTGAAATCCTGTCGACTTCAGCCTGGTCAGATACGCTTGTATGACAGCGAATGTTCGATTTCTAAATCGATATCATGCGTTTTTAATAAAAAAATATATCTGTTCATATCTGTATCATAGAATGAAAAATATAAAACCCTAATCATTCGTCGTTTGGCAGCTCTAAATTCAACAATTTTGATAACAAGTTATTAATATTTTTTAATTTAAAATATTGATTAAATATTAAATTTAATATTTAATCCTGTTAAAAGTATTTTATGATAAATAATTTACATTGTCTATAATTATAGTATCTTATATATATATATATATAATATATATATATATATATATATATATATATATATATATATAGCCAGAGACGGACATAGCCGGATTTAGGTTCTCAAGGAGGGAGAGGAGGGCATTCAGATGAAAAAGGTATTTCCCTTCTCCAGATTTATTAAAGCACTATAAATTAATAGCTTCGTGAACAAATATATACACTGACTTGTTTACATTTATTTTTGACATTTTCGAATAATTATATGAAATTTATTCCGACGCGCGGGGCCCCTCATGCAACGGAGTCTAAGCAACGGCTTATTTTTCTTGGAAGTAAATACGGCTCTGCCAGTATGTAGGTACTCGGATATCGGTACCTCGTGTTGACGGGTACTCGGAGGGCCCACCCCGCCCTTTTCTGCAGCTGGCAGTGCAGTTGAGCGCGACTCGGAGCCCGTGCAGCGGCATGCGCGCGAAGGTCCCCCCCCCCCCTCCCGCTTCCCCTGCGCGCCGCGGGGCCCCACGAGCGGCCGGCAGGCAGCTGCTGCGCCAGTGCGCTGCGAACCCGCCCCGCGACGCGACCTGCCCTCCGATCGCCTCCTGCCGCCTCCGCCTGCACCTCACGGCTTCGCCATGAGCCTCGAGTTGATCACGCTGCTGGGCGGGGCCCTGTCCCTGCTCATCGTCGCCATCTACCGGTGAGTTCTCCACGCCCGGGAGGGGCGGGTGCGCGACGCGCAACAGGTCCCCAGAGAGCCACCCCTCGGATCTTCGTCACTGCTCGTACGAGTGGAGTGCGTGATCTTCGCTGTCCGGGTGACACAGCCTTCGACGCGGCGTCGCCCGGGCAGCCAAGATCACGCACATGACTGGCCGCGGAAGCCTACGACTGGTGCGAGTGGAATTGGCAGAATTCTAGTTGGGGAACAAGAAAAGAGACTCATCTCCGTAATGATCAATAGGGGGCGGATTTTAATGAAATGTCATTTTTTTTTATTTTAGAACATTGACGTTTAGTATAGAAATTCATTGTAGCTTATGACAAAACGAAATGACCCATTTTTATCTGTAATTTGTTTGTTGCATTTTTCGTAGATTTCAACTAATAAGTCTTTTTTTTAAATTTTGATGTTATTTTTACTGCATTTGTCGCTGATTTAATCGATTTTAATATAATTTGAATGGTACTTGCTTCAAACAATATTTACGAAGTGCAACAAATGTTCACTACAGAATTCCTGAGTAGCCTATTCGATTTCTTCGCTTATGTATTGTGATGTCAGCCCTTGTGAGACTATGTAACGTAAGGCTCCTGTGACATGTATCGGCGCTACTGTCAGTCGCGACACATAAAGGCAGAGGTTTTCTTTTAAAGAACAGACCAAACCAAAAGTTTGCAAGCTGAGTTCACATGAACAAAAGGAAGAAACCTCGATTACATCAGTAACATACTCAACACATTGAGTTGTTCAACTGAAGTGGTTTTGATCAATTTTTTACGCCATGTTTCTTTGATGTTAGGGGATTGTAGGAGTATTTTATTGATCATTTTTGGCAATGTTTAGGTCATCAAAATCTGCCCCCTAATGATCAAATTGCAGGTGAACGGTTTTGCTTCAGTTGAGAGGTTCATTTGTGTTCAGGTGTGCTTATGAAATTTCATAATGCGTAAAATGGTCTGTTTTGTAAACATACTTTAATTAACTAAAAAATGACGATGTAATATACCTGACGATTTGAGAAATGTGGGGTGATATAGAAGTCATGAGTGCCGCGAAAGAAGGTGCTCATCACACCCCCACAAAAGATATCGGTAGATCGATCGGCAAGTTTAGCCATAACGAATTCAATTTGATAATAAACAAAATCTCTTAAAATGAATTAAATGACAATGCCGTTGACTCCAGGTATTTACTATAACTAGAAAGATGCATTTCTTCGTGACTTTCTTTGTGAGCGGACTCCCACTCCTGGCCAGACACCCAACGGCGCCTGTGGTTGAAATCCAAGAACTTAATTTTCACGAAAGAATACAATTTCCCTACAAGTTGTCACCATGGAGTGTTCTATGCAACTTTTATGGGGTATTCCATGAAGTAAACAAACCATTCGACCGAAACAGTTTAACACCAGATAAGCGAAATTATTCGAATGTGTGACGTATTCTACCCCCACACACGTTTGTTTAGAGGAATTATTTTATGATTTGGGATTAGTAGAAACTTGCACGATCCCTTAACGTTAAGAAATATTAAATCTGAAAAAAACATTTGTTATCAAACGGTGCATTAACATGCACATCTGTACCAACTGTTGCATTCACATATTGCAAACGGAAATCGCCTTTTTGTCACGTTTCTGCAGTGAGACACATAACTGAGAACTTCCACAGATGTCCGTGACGTGTCACAAGCCTTGTTCCGGCTCTTGAGTCGCTTTCAAAGAAGAGAAGACGTAATTTCAAGCGAATAGTTATTTGAAGCTTCTCGATCTTTCCCTAATAGTTGAGGAATGTGTTCTCAAAAATATTCACTGAAGAATAAATTTAACTCTTTCAATTACATGCGATACATAATTTCACCATATGAGCATTTCCAAACTCAAAGAAATGTATAAGTATGCCTTGCCTTTGAAGGTGCAATATCAGAGTAGTGCGTGACTAAGACCAGAATCGTTCGTTGGAGAAATTAATTGTTTGTGAAGGAAACAATAGTGTATGATAAGAGTATTTTATGAGCAATTATTTTACCTCGATTATTCGTAAAAACTCTGGTTGGGAGTGTACTACTGACATAAGATAATAACATGTCGTAATTCCGAAATTCTAACTACTGGTGCATAAGGTTCCTTTCACAACCTCCTCTTTCTTTGTAACTGGTTAACTACATCGACTATCAAACTCAGGAGAATATACAGTGAAGAAGGAATTTTTCCGGTCTTTACGACGCGTGCTGCTACCTACTGTCCTATGGCGTAATCATCAGAGACTTGGTCACCAACAAATCTCAGTAAAGGTGATAGGCGTAGCAAAAATCGTATGTTGCGCAGGGGCAAAAATGTTATTTTTCAGCAATATCCGTCGGCCGCGGCCACGCATCCAACTGTAACTCACTTGTTTAAAGTATTGGGTATCGATGACAGTTGCTCTCGAGCACGTTCGCGCCACACCCAACTGCTGGGAACTCGGCAGCCAGACTCTCATATGTACCTTCTTTTTTTTACGTGGGAAAGCGAAAATCTTCAAAAGATGTTGCAGAGCTCGTACTATGCACCATTTGGGACTGTTACCACACTATAAACACCACACTTTTTCCAACCCATTTCGCCTTCGCGGGACTACCGTCAGGTATTTCATCACGGAGGGGATCATCTGCGTGTCATCTGTGTGAAAATGTAATTTCTTTTTCAAAACATTTACTATATAGCTCTCTATTAATTGTCACTTTTCCTTAGTTTCGAGCGTATGATCTACCATATTTGTCTTATGGATAACCGTTCCTAATCTTCAATTTAGTGTCTTTATCGTTTCCGTGCAACGCAGCCGAGTTTCATAGATATAGACGTCAGTTGAATAATATAAATCCATTGAAAGGCGTACTGCATCCTGAACACGAATATTTTTTGACAGATGGCTAAAGCGTATGATTAAATGGAGCAGATGTGGAATACGCGTATTTAAGTGGAAATACATGAACGGAAGTAAAGCGAGGTAAATTAGTCACAAGTCATGTTTGAATTTTGGCGTAAAGTGAATTGGAACTTTTGCGATGATCTAAAATTAGTTTTACGTTAATCGCGAAGGACGAAGGCCGGAGCCTCGCCGTTAACTTGGAAATCCGCGATCGAAGCAAGTCAATTTGACGGCAAATTCTATTTATCCATTTTCTTTATGGCTTTGCTTCATTAGATGGCTGTCAAATAATACTTGCGTTCTGGGAGCGGATATCTTTCACTTAATAAGCAATTGGATTCTGGCCAAAAGCTGCGTGGCTGTGGTTTTCTATAGGAGACCGGCATATTGAATTAGTTGGTGGGGGCGACAACTGCAAGCGGGGAATTTAAATTGCGTAGTATCCTCGGGCTCAGGGATAACGCGCAAGATGGCCAGGACCCCTCCGAAAAAATTGAAAGGAACCTCATGGCTTTACGCAATAAAACGGGTTATTTCTGTAAACACGTCCAGTGTCTGATTTCCCTTCTTTTTTCTGACAATTTTGGGAATTGTTATACATTTGAGGAGGAGAATCCATCTGGAAACACTGTAAATGGTTCAGAATAAAATCAATTTCATTTAATTGTATTATTAGTGTTAAACTTTCATTCTAGTATGTTTAAGTTAAATATTACTATGTAAATAAAAAAATAATGCATAAGGGGTCTAGAAATGTATTCGCCCACATTTCCCTTTCGGATCTGCACCTTTAATTTTCTTGGAATGGATCGTGGAATGGTTTTTCGTAGTTGAAGTTTTAATTTAGGGCGTAAGCACTCCATGCTAATGGGCGAAATCCATCGGTGTGCGAGGCGACGGGCCGCAGGTGGCCCAGCGGGGTGAAGTGCTCGATTCTTGGATGAGCAGCCAAACGAGACGCCATTCTACCGGTGAAGCGATGGCGTCAATTAGCGAACACACTAGACTGGCACACGGTACAGTGCCTTTTCTGCGGTCAGTGCCTGGGCCGAGGCGTAGATAGAGATAGCTAAAGTTCTCCATAGACCGATATACGAGCGACGCGTGGGAAAAATAGTAAGCCCCAAAACGGAGATTTTTCATACTCTAGGAAAAGTTTTCATGCTCTTGTTGCGGATAGGCATTAGCGCTTGCCTAGGTCATGTTGAGCTCTGAGGCATCTTCAAACATGTGTGAGATAGTGGTGTCCCATGGCGAGGATTAAAGGAGCAACGCGAACATAGCCAAGGGGACACTATAATGTTCCTCCAACACCAGAGAGGAAATATTTAAGCGTAAGCAGACTAAAATATGTGCGTCCTGCTGGATAAAGAGGCCAAACATTTTTCTAAACGAAATTTATGAGTTAATAAATCTGTATATTATTTTAATATTTTTAATTGTGAATGTTATAATTAATTTTAATATTAATTTTGAAGAGGCGTTTTCAATATTTCAATATTAAATAGGGGACATCAGTCTAATCATGCAAAGCCTCTTACGATCTTTAGTAATGCTTCGAGGCTCTCATGTCCATGGTGAATTATATTGAAAGTAGAAAACCATTTTGCTGTAAATATTTTCTAATAAATCGTTCTTTTGATTTCCCACTAATTTCGAGGCAGCGATAAAAGGTGATAAATTATAGAAGTAGGACCTTACGTTTCCACGTGAAAAGGGATCCATAATCTAGGCAGAGGCCAGTATGACGTCGAAGCCTTCCGGTATAAAATTGGTATGGGTGAAAACCTAAGAGTGATTCACCGGGTAATGAAAATATTAAATTTAATTATTGTAGTGTTATAATTGGAATAGATTTTGATTGACTTTTTTGTTAAACAATAAAATGTTTCGATATTACAGTATATTGAAAAGAAAATTCGATATTAGAATTCCGACATATTGAAAGATAAATACCGATATATTGACAGGTCAATATTTTTTTTCCATATCTATAACCAAAAGAAATCCAATGCTGCTCAAAAATCTTCCGACATATATATGGACATTCAGAAGGGGTGGGTAGAA